GAAGTGCAAGCAAAACCGCAAGTAACTGTAACCAACGTAAAAATTTGGTATGTAAACAACACTTTAAGGATGCAAAGGRGGAAACCTTGAACATGCACAAATGTAACGGGAAACAGGCAATTGAAAAAATTACGAGCAGCAAAAATTATGTGATCTGAAGTCGAAAACATTTGCATTGTCCCATAATATGTTTTTGCTTTGGAAAATTARTGTTGTTGTTGTTGCATCACTTTGCATTAAAGTTTTTGAGGTTAGAAAACGTCTCATAATTGTTTAAGTTTATTTACTCTATTTAATTACATACATCCTCACTCGAATTAAATCACTTTATCATAGACAACTTTAATTAGTAATAAAAAGTCAGGCCTGCCTTATATATTTTGATATTTGACAATTCTAGTAATGCAATCTGGCAACTCAAAACGTTATCGTAAAGTTCGACAATTKTGATCTTATATATACTCAGAAAATATTGAAGTATGCGCGCTATTTGTGGTGTTTACAGTAACCTAAAATATTCATCTGGAGCAAAGAATCTAATTAAATTGAGAATATTTTCGCGTGATTATTTCCGTCGTCGATTAATCAGCTACTGTGCATTTTTACCCTAAATCAATTTTTGACGACGAAGTTCCATCAAAGGGTGTTCTTCTGTGCTTATCGTTGGTTTTCTCAATTCAATCGAACACGTAGACCAAGATTTGTTGTTGWTGCTATGCACAAACCGTTATTGCAAGTACGTCATGTGGCTCTAGTGAGACACCTATAGCCATTAGTGGCACCAGAATATATTCAATATTGTATGAGTATTGTGCTTTTATTTCCACATTTTAAATTCTCGGTTCTTGGGGTATTTAGAGTCGAATATCTCCGTAAAAGTAACATTGCCATTCAAAGAATAGAATTGGGATATTAGGAAAACCACAGATACTTTTATAAAAAGTAGTTATAAGGGAATGCTTGTTTGTAAAAATCACATTGAACTCTTAGCGTCCTATATATGTATGTTTGTAATTAATCATCACTTTTTGTACGGTTTTTAAATTCTACTATACTTCATATACATTCATATATTTTTGCATTCAAGTCATTTCACCACTTCAACTGCTAAATAACACCAAAAAACTGAGTATCGCTTTTAATCCTTTATGATCTGCCCATGCCTCGATTTCCAGCTCACTGCACAATGCTAACTGAAAAAAGGAATAGTAAAAAATATGAAAATCAAAATAAAATTGAAATGCAATCGGATTTCCTTTCAGCAAGTTTCCTTGCTTTCGATTTTTCGTTTGACTGTGCGGTTTTCATTTGTCAACGCTTTGTATCCAAAAGTCCAGGGGCCGCTCGGACTTCATTCAGCTGAATGGCSATTTTGTGCTTTTTGTTTCGGGTCTCTTTGACAGCAAATTTAGTTTCTGCTGCTGACACACACATGGMCCTTGCTCTTTGACATACTGCTCGGTCATATGCGCTCATAGAGGGGGAAGTGAAGCGGACGCCTAGTCAGCTCGTCGTACGAGTCCAGACAGATGTTTCACATTAAATTTGCTGCAACAACCACAGGCGCCGCAATTCGAGCGCTTCTTGCCAGTTGCAGCTAAGTAAGCCCGCTTAATTACACTCAATACAATCGATYGARATCTATTTGTAAAGTAACAATTTGGCCTGAGCTGCTCTGCCATTGTTGTTATTGTTTTTATGCTGCCCTTCTCGTTCACGTCTAGGATATTATCGAGGCACAAATTGCAATTTACACAATCCCTCAATTAACCAATTGAATGCTATTAATGGCAACAGGCGATAATCAACCCTTGACTCCTCACACACACAGACACACACACACATGCCTGATCCGTTAAAGAGCTATAAGTGTGCTAATAGTAATAGGGAGCTGCATTAGGCAGGTGGAAGGATGGATATCGAGGGTTCTTCAATGTCATTGTCTTCTCTCCCTGTGGACAATAACAAAAGTAAAGACCGCAACAACAACATCAGGCAACCAGTAGATGAACATCTGCAAGTGTTTATGCTGCAATTTGACGCTGAYTGCCAGACAACGGTCGCCGATTTGTAGAGCACTGCACTCCAGCGCCTCCATCGYTCAAAGCCATCGTCGCAGCAACAACAAATGTGTTGCCATAGACAAGTTCAGCGCAGTCGGTCAAAGACTTTGTGCGCATTCTCTGCAGTTGAATGGAAATAAATTGCCAAAATCACGAAAGGACATTTCACAGACGAAATCGGCTATAAATGAACGAAGAAGGTGAACGCCGGCCAACAGCCAACAACCAACAAACCGGAGTGCGGTGGGTAGTGGGCCGAGAGTCGCGTGCAGCCGGTAGCCAAGTTTCTGGGATGCTGCGTGGCCGCTAAAGTCATTGGCCGGTCTTCTTGCTGYGCTTGAACTTGGCGCTCKTGTTTATGCGGGCGAATGACTTGTGGTTCGCCTATTAATGTTATCACACGTTTCTGCTTTAGTTGAAGGCTTTCTTCGCTTGTCGTATTTWCTCATATTCATTTTTTGGTTTGCGCAAATAAATCTGCAAATACCCGAGTGTGCTCAAATTTATTGCCAACCGCAGTTGTAAGTAAGCTTTTGGAGTTTTGTGTGAAGCGAAACAAATGATGCAGAATTTTCTAAATAGGATGGAGAAGGGACAATGCGCAGCAAATAAAATAATTGTTTCTGCAATCGAATATTCGAATTTTAGAAATAAGGTTTTTTTCTTAAACGGAGTATATTAAGTTTGCCAAAAAATTTTTAAACTGAAACGTTGCAGACCCTATAAAATATATATATATATATATGATCAGCATGATGAGTTGAGTCGGTTTAGTCTTGGTCAGTGGTATATATACCAACTTGTTCTACAGTTTTTGAGCTATCGTCTAAAACTTTACACACGTACACGTCCTTTCCTCCCAAAAAATGCTTCTCTTTTGTCGGTAAAGCAAGAAATATTTTTATTTACTAAACACGCGGCACTCTCGAAATAACTTGATCTGATAAATGTTTTTACATGTTCAAGGTCATATTTAGTGATCTGTTAATGCCCAACCAATGTTGTGTGATAATTTCTATGAGACAAAGCAACCTCGCTAATGGTTTCCAAGACTTCTCGCGTTTATGTAAGCCTTGTTTGATGTAAATGTACTTATTGTAAGCATGCTCTTTCCCTAGTTAAATAGTTAGTACTCTACCCTATATTATATTTCAGTTATATAATTCTTAAAGTGAAACGTGATTTTTGCAATTCAAAAAATATTTACTTAGTCTGGAATTGGAAGTAAACCGTAAGTCAATGCACCGTTATAGAATTTATTTTAACTTCTCTTCTATGAAAGTATGATCAGATTTAGCTATCAACAAATTTGAAATCCCCAAATTCTGAAACAGTTGAGGCTTTTGCCATATGCATTTAGGTTTTTCAACAAGAGTAAAGCAACAAAATAAGTTCCAAGAAAGAAGAGAGGTCGGCAATCGACAAGTTAATTATCTGCGTGTCAAACAGGGATCCCCATAAGACAGCAAATAAGATTAGAGTTGCGGTTTTTGGAAAAATGTTGAGTATCAAGGAAGAAATCAATACCCTCTGAATGCGATCGAAGGAGCCGGTGAGAGCTTGCAAAGAAATACCGCCCGCCATTGGACAGCAAAACAGTGGAAAATAGTATTATTTTCTGATTCTTGCCTCGACGCAAATAGTTGGACCCCAAATACACTAGGCGAACTTTAAAGCATGTTGGCAGCTATATTATGATTTGGGGTGCCATGCCGTGGCTAGGTGTTGGGCCTATTTACCAGCAAGATAACGACCAGAAACATACTGCACGTGGTACAAGGCAATGGTTTCAGGAAAACATGGTGGCTCTATTAGACTGACCTTTATGCAGAACGGACTTAAAGGTCAGCAGGGTATCTGGCCTGTTTTTTTGACTTTTTTTCATATAAATTTTTATTGTACAATAGAACTTTTTTCCCATATCATGAGGTATATCGTGGAGTGTATAAACAATTTTTTTCGGAATTTTTTGATGACACCTGTCGGAGAAATGGCTGGGTGAATGAGATGCGTCTCTGGCGGACATGATTTCTCATGTTTGGATCATCGGAAACACAGAAACCCAATTTATTCTTAAAAAGTACGTAAATGGTTATCGTTTCGTTCCTACTAGAATCATGAAAAAATGTTCATAAATAAAAAAAAGWAATTAACGTTTTTGTTTTTAATTTTCCCCATGTTTTTTTTACTTAAACCTTCCAATCGTAAGCTGGGTTTCTACATTAATTCCAAAAGGTAGAAGAGAACAGACAATATAAAAAAAAATGAAGAAAGATTACCCTACTGACCCCTTAAACTCAATCGAAAATCTTTGAAGACATTTGAACAAAAGAGTTCGATCCAATTAAGTTGAATATTATCAGGGAATAAACGAAAAAATTAAACAAGAATTGAATCACATTCCAAAGTCAAGCCGTGTATTACAGTAATGAGTTTGCAACCAAATATTAACTGGAAAAGCAAATTGAAAACATTAAAAAAAGAAGAAGGAAAACGTGAGAAACCTGAATACATTGAAAGATCTTAAATTAATTTTGGGGTTATAGAAAGTTAGAGTTTCATAATGTTTATTTATCGTGATCTGAATCCTGTGATATATTCTAAAGTTTCGAAACGAGTTGAGCCACTGGAAGTCGCTACATTTTTTAGCGTAAATTATACACGAAAATTCTCAAACCTTTCATTGAAGCGCAAAGGCACTCTCAACTTTTTAAAATAAACAAACTGTCACTTCAAGCAACATAGAACATCAACGCTTTCATATCTAGAAATGTCACATGACATGCCACACATTGACATTTCACTTGAAGCGTCATTGTTTTGAGGTATATTTTCTTTGAAGTGTTCTTCAAACAAACACACACAAATATTGAACCCGTCTTTTACGTTTCTTAGTAAACATACTAAAATATATTTATAACTTTTTTCTCGTTACAGATACTCAACTTGAGCAGCAGCAACAATAACAGTGGTAGCAGCCGTTAGAGCAACTAAAAAAGTCAATCCTTAGGGTCAAGGGAAATACCGTCGTACAGCAATGAGCATAACGTCAAAGAAAATCAAACAATATATAAACAAAAGAGCAAAGAATAACACATGACTGCAACACAAACGAAATTGCCGACGCCGCCGACGAGGACGAGAACGAGTACGACGACATAAAGGTCGCCGTGGCGTAACCGAACACGATTACGAAGCCAAAGGCAACACTAAGCAAACACAAACACAGGCGAAAGAAGAAAACAAAACGAACGAACGTGSAAGCAACAAATCCGYAGTACCCGCAGTACTACTACAAAGGTGCTTGTGAGCACTGCACGCACAGCAGAGTGCAACGGTACGACGGCACAGAGGAACAAGCGACTCGTCACAAGCGCCAGTGCCACTAAAAAAACAACACAACACATCCAACAACAACCTAAATACTACACATTAATAAACTACATAAAACCGTGCGTGCTAATCACTAACTAATACTAGAAGCGACAACGCCGATATAACTGTAACACAAAAGCGTATTAAGTGCAACAGTGTGTCCCAAACCGGTGTGTCACGTGTCCCAGTCACAACTACTAGTTCACCGCAAATACATATAAACTGTAATCAAAAGGACAACCCGTCTCTAGTGCAGCGAGTAGCCACTGCTGTAGTACTTAGCGGTAGTAGTTAGTAGGCGCCAACAACTAACTGTATCCGTAGCTTTTCAAATTTAAAGCCCTCCACTTTTTTCACTTTTAAATCGTAAATATTTTAATGAAAAACAAAATTTCAAAAACAAAAAACTTGACTGATAGTTTATTAAATTAATTAAACATTTCAATTGAATAGAAATTTAAACGAATGTTCACAAAACTACAACAACAACAATAACACTCGTACGCATGCAACAAATGATCTCGAAATCAAAACAGAACTCCACGTTAAAGCAAGAAACGCGCGATAATGTCGAACTTCAATTAAAACAAAGCAAATAAAGCGACGAAAAAACAACAACAACACAGCAAAAATTGCAACAACTCAAAGCGAATTTGACAAACCAAAAACCAACAACTAACATTGCCAAAAACAAACAAGAATTGCAGCATTTTTTAAAAACACGAATAATTGAAAAACTACAAGAACAACAACTACAACGCATATGATAGCATTCGCATTGACAACGACGTTTAGTCAGTAAAGCCCCGCAAAAAAAAACAAAAAAAAAAACACGAATAAAAACGCTGAACTTAGCGCCAATAAATAACGGGACAAATCAAATTGCAACCGTGCCTCTGCTCACTGCAACACGACGGTGGTGAAAGCATTTAAACGCGGTGCGCTCGCGAATAATCAAATTTGGTGCAACAAAAAATATTCAAAACTGAACTTAGCAAAGTGACTTTTTCATTAGTCAACGCCTTGTTGTTTTTGTTGTTACATAAAATAGAGTGCCACAGCGTTGCGAGCTGGCGGATAAGCCAATTTTATTCATAACACAAAGCGAGTGAGCGTAGCAGCGGCCGGCAGGCTAAGCGTGTTGGTTGTGGCCAGTAGCCAGCAGTGGCAAGCAGACGCAAACAAAATGGGCAATAAATGTTGCAGCAAACGACAGGATCAGGAGTTGGCACTTGCCTACCCGAGTGGCTATAAAAAATCAGATTACACATTCGGTCAAACGCATATAAATAATAGCGGGCAAAAGCATAACAATGGCGGCTCGCTGGACTCCCGTTACACGCCCGACCCGAATCGTGGGCCGCTCAAAATTGGCGCCAAGGGCGGCGCAGACATAATACGCCCGCGTACAACGCCAAGTAAGTACTCACATCCGTTTCTGGGTGAAATATATGCGCCTGTAGTTGTGTATGTGTATGTGTGTGTCCTGGGTTAATTATTAAGTTTGCAACGCGCAGTAGGCATTTGGGAAACCCAGTGACTTGACAGACTCATTTGCCCAGCAGTTATAACTGTAAACATATATAACTTTATATATATGTATATAATTATGTGTGTGTGTGTATGTGAATCAATATGGTAAATCACCGCTTGTGCATATTTGTGTGAAGGTCGCTCGTTTTAATATTTTATTGCTGGTAATCCATATTTATTTGTTAATCAGGGTAAGCTCGAAGCTCATTGAGTGAGTGCGAAACATTTTTGAGAATATTCATTAATTAAATTTTAATTCTGACACACAAATGTAAACATATATGTATGTGTGGGAATGTTGGTTGCTAATATCTAGTGAGTTTTGAACTTTGCGATGAATGCGGTACATTGAGGTTATGTACATAACAAAACGCTTCTTTTGTCTTCAAGCACTTAGTGATACAAAATTATCTTGCTATCAATTTTGAGGCACTTACATGAAATAAATTTGTTTTAAATATCCTCTCTATTGATTAGCTCACTTTCAAAATGTTATGTTAAAATTTTGTTAAATGATGTATAACAATTTCTTTGCATCGATAATACTAAACATATCCTTAGTACTAGTATGGTAATAGATTGTCAAAAAAGTCTTGCGGTATTTTTTTACTCTTGACTGATGCTACGGCTATAGTAGCAGCCGGTCTCTTTCGGGGCGTGGCACATCTTCGATCACCTCTACAACAGAACGAAAACGTTGAAACCATCGTTGTGCGGTGGAAATGGAAACTGTATCGGGTCCTTAAACTACACACATTTTATTCGCGGCTTGAGATGCATTTTTGCCTTTATCGTAGTAGTACTGTAAAATATGCCGAATTTTCTCTTTATTTTGCTCCATGTTTGCGACGCTATAACTCACGAACGACTTAAAGGAAACGACAATCAATCAAACACGGGTTAGCGCGTGAAATGAGCTTTCCAAAAGGGTATAACATGACCCGATGCGACGAATAAAACTAGAACTACGCGCTCTCAGCGCCAACTAGCGAAAATACCGCAAGACTTTTTTGACAACCTAATATAAAAAGAGTGGTCCATTTCAAAATGGCAGCTCTTGAATCTCTTCAGGTTTTTCGTCCCAAATGTGGTAATTTTACGGCATCACTTCTTGCACAAGCTGTATTTTGTATGATTTCAATTTAAGATCTGGACGTAAAATATGCCAAGTCGATTCATACGTCAGTCCGAGCTGTTGCGAGCGGTGTCGAATCGATTTTCCATTGTCTTCGTATATACCCTCAGCTATGGGTGCTATATTTTCTTCACTGCATGCTGGGTGATGGTATTACGAATAGTTCGCTCAGTAGGCCGATTACATTGACCATAAGTTGAGTGAAACGGGCTTATTTACAGAATCTGCATTTTCGTAATAAAGTTGAACGATTTGTTAACGTGTTATTCAGGTGTAAGTCTTTCAGTAATGAAATACGAAACAATACTGAACAAAAGTATCGTGACAGCTTGACACGACTCACGCACGATCTATCAGAAAGGGTATTGAAAAAAGTACCTCTACTTTGACTCGTTACTTTCGCCGCTTCTCGATAATTTTTTGACCTATTGAGATTTTTTTTTTATAGATATCACGCGATATCAGTAGCGTTACATAAAACTTAGTGTAGAATCGGGTTAGAAACTGAGGCCAACGCAAGACTTAATGTTACTGAGATATAAGCTCCATTTGAGGAATTGAAGTTGTCAGAAAACTTCCGCTACGAATGATGAGCGAAAGGACGGAAGTAATGTTCAAACTTTTGAATGAAAATAATCTAATTTTCAAACTCCCTGTGATTTATATTTTAGTAAACTTGTTCAAAAAGCCATGAAAAGGAAAGCTTTTATTTTTGAATTAGATCCGAAATTCCTGCATTCTGCATTGCCACATGTTTTCATGCTACTTACTTACACCACTCTAAATTACATTAGTATATTTGTATATACATGAACGCCTAGCGGTAACGCCATAAAAACGGCGACTTTTCTTTTCGCTTGGCTTGAGTTCAACAACGCTTAAGTACGACTTAACGCGGTTGAATAATTAAATATTTATAGTTGTAAACTGGTAGGTGCTTGTATGCACAGTGTTGGGCAGAATTAAAGCGCTTCGTGTTTCACGAAAACACCGGTTGACACGATTTTTGGATCTGGCTTCTGTATTTAAAATTTTAGTTTTTCCAACACTAAAAATAAATTACAAGACTTTTTCACACTGAAAATGCTTTCTACATTAATTAATTGATTAAAATTGTTTTAGTAAAACTTTTTTTCGTGATTCTTAAATGTTCGTATGGTCAAATCAACTTCATTCGTTCCGGGTAAAAGCAAACTTTTGGGAATAAAAATAAAAATTTTAATATTTGTATAGAATCAGAATTTGAGCATGACAACAGAACCGAAAAAACTACTTTTTTTGTTGATCGGCGGTTGATTGATTGATTGATGATATTTTGTTTAATTCAACGAATCTCTTAATTAGTAATTGTTTATATGCACAGGAAACATATTTTTACGAGTGTGTTAATTTTAAGGATAGTATTAAGGTACTGGGACTCACACTTCCTATCGGTAATAACGCTTTTACCCTATATTTGTCATCCATTTCTTTTTTAAAATTTTAGTGCCAATCTATATACATTATTTTGAGTTCTAGAAATACATAATTAATTGGATTGAATTTTTTTATCTTTATTTTTTTATTTTTATTTTTTTTTTATAATAGGAGGAAGCATCGAAAGCCTGAGTGCGGGACTTTAATCCGCTAAACCTAACCTACTCCGAACTCAATACTCTCCCACGGAACCACCAGATAAGGTATTACTTCATGGGAGTGACAAGACATTTTACGTCTCCTCTATAGCACAGACAAACTGACGCCTATTCTGCTGTATCTGTCTTAATATTGTCATGATGGAAGTTGCCGCTTCGCGAACAGCTTTCCACTTCTCAGAGGACTGACACATAAGTGCAGTCAAACTTTCCACCGTTAAACTACCACCTAGTGCTGTTTCTAACTTTTCCCTTATGTCTAGAAACCGAGGACATTGGAAGAACACGTGCTCAGAGTCTTCTATTGACTCCGTACAAATCGGTCAATACGGACTGAGGTCGTTTTGAAATTTATAAATGGATTGAATTTCAATGGGCGCCCAAATGTAGGCAATTATTTTTGTAAGAATAATATCTCTGCCCGCAAATAATAAAAATCCTTGGTTTTATTACACAAGAGGAGACTAAGATGCATTAGATGTTGTATATGAACATATTACATATATTTGCGCGCTACTGTGCCTAAAAAACTTACTGTGATGTATGTATGTGTGTTTGTAGTGCGCTTGAGCAGCAGCAACATTGAAACTTGCCCTCTGGCACACGCCCGCCCTAGCGGCTGCTGCTGCGCTGAACCTTGCGACCGCATAACACAGCTGCGCATTGAACGCTGAGACCGAGACCCCGCAACTGCGGCATTCACTGGCGCTGCAACGTGGCGAAGTGCATGCGGCAGCAGCAGCAGCAGCTGTGATTGCTGTGTCTTCATTATTGAGGCTTGCGAGAGCATTACAAGCCAGCTTGAGCAAATTCCATTTGCAGGCCAAAGTTGAAAGGCGCAGAACAAAGCTGATTTTCGCTGTGCAGCACTTGTAGCAAATGCCACTTGATACGCTCGCCTCGCCACATGTGTGCCAGCAGCGGCGCGCTAGTGCGTGTGGCATGTTGCCTATGCGCTGATATGTGCATCTGTAAGCGTTTTGTATATTTTTCGAGCGACTGTGTGTGTGTTTGTGTGAGTTCACGGAATGCACGCCGAGGCCAAGGCTCCTTGCTAAAAAAGCTAAGCTGCCAACTGGTCGGCAGGCAATTATTTACATTTCCATTTACACAGTCACAAACAGACAACGTTGCTTCTCAACATTTTACTTCGCACACACATACACTCATACATGCACACATTGCGCGCTTAACACCAAAAAGTATGATTGACCAAAAAAACACACGAACAGCCAGTAAATATCTAGTGCAATACAATTAGCGACAGTAAGTGCACTTGGAAAAAGTTGGCATTACGGTACCTACCGTTATTCATTAATTTTGCATCTCATCTCCCCTTGCTGTTGCTGGCTTACATTTTACAGTTATTTACTTATATATATATTTTTTTTTTTTGCTCTTCATTCAATTAGTAGATTGTGTTGCAATGAATTATGGCAGCGCGACCGAGAATGCGGCGTTTTTAGGTTGCTTTAAAAGGTTTTTAAATTTACACATACACACACACACACACTCATGCATTCATGCATTAGTTTGCATGTTGCTTGTGCCGAAGTTTATTATTTATCTGTGTTTTATTGTAGCTCCTGAAATCCTGAACTGAACTCTTGAGCGCGTTCAGAACTCTTGTAATTAAAAAAATATAGCAAAAATGTAGCTTCTTCCTTGGTTTATTAAATTTCCTCAAATTCAAGCGATTTTTACCAATTTCCTCAAGCTCTTTGCCAGCTGCCGTCGTTTGGCACTCACCGACGCAGCCAAATACACATTAAAATTTATTTAAACCCAACCCTTATGTAGCCACAGCAAACAAATGCAATTACAAAAAATATATATATTCATAACCCCCACTCATCTCTGCTGCCTGTTTCCCTCTGCATTTCCAGCTGGCGTTCAAGGTGGCCTGCCCAAACGGCGTGTCGTTGTCGCCCTATACGATTACAAGTCGCGCGATGAGTCTGACTTGAGCTTCATGAAGGGCGACCGGATGGAAGTAATCGACGACACCGAGTCCGATTGGTGGCGTGTAGTCAATTTGAGCACACGTCAGGAGGGTTTGATACCCCTAAACTTTGTCGCCGAGGAGCGCAGCGTGAACAGTGAAGAGTAAGTACACATACATACACATATTTTATATGATTTTCCATGTGTTGCTGATTTAATAAACATATATTCCTACGCTCTCCGCTCCGCCTTCTTTTAGTTGGTTCTTTGAAAATGTGCTACGCAAAGAGGCCGATAAGCTTTTGTTGGCGGAGGAGAATCCGCGCGGTACATTCCTGGTGCGTCCGTCGGAACACAATCCCAACGGATATTCGTTGTCGGTGAAGGATTGGGAGGATGGCCGTGGCTACCATGTGAAACATTATCGCATCAAGCCGCTCGACAATGGTGGCTACTACATTGCCACAAATCAGACTTTCCCCTCGTTGCAGGCGCTGGTGATGGCCTACAGTAGTAAGTTGTTAATTTCATGCACACGCAATTGTTAATACAGTAGCGGCGAGTTTATGGTGCCAAACAGAAAATATAAAAAACGATTTTCAAGGTGAAATGGAATTCGATAATGAAAGCTCTCAGCAAAAATTTCAAATTTAATATTTTAATTGCTGGTCACCATTTTCTGGCCGCTACTGTAGTTATTTGCGCGCTTCATTTGGATTGCTGTATATTCATTTGCTATTAATTTCCGCAGAAAATGCACTTGGCCTTTGCCACATACTGTCGCGTCCGTGTCCGAAGCCACAGCCGCAAATGTGGGACCTGGGACCGGAATTGCGTGACAAGTACGAGATACCGCGCTCCGAAATTCAATTGATACGCAAATTGGGACGCGGCAACTTCGGTGAGGTGTTCTACGGCAAGTGGCGCAACAATATCGACGTCGCCGTGAAAACGCTGCGCGAAGGCACGATGTCGACGCAGGCGTTCCTACAAGAGGCAGCCATTATGAAGAAGTTCCGCCACAATCGCCTGGTGGCATTGTATGCCGTCTGCTCGCAGGTGAGTACAATCATACAAGTTTTGTGGAATTCTTGATTGAATTTATCGTGGTTTTTTTTTTTTATTGCGCAGGAGGAGCCCATCTACATTGTGCAGGAGTACATGTCCAAAGGCAGTTTGTTGGACTTTCTTCGCGAAGGCGACGGTCGCTATTTGCACTTTGAAGATCTTATTTACATAGCCACGCAGGTGGCATCCGGCATGGAATATCTCGAATCAAAACAATTGATACATCGTGATCTGGCCGCACGCAATGTGCTGATCGGCGAGAATAATGTTGCCAAAATTTGTGATTTCGGTTTGGCGCGCGTTATCGCCGACGATGAATACTGCCCCAAACAGGGATCGCGCTTCCCTGTCAAATGGACTGCACCCGAGGCGATAATCTATGGCAAATTTTCCATCAAATCCGATGTCTGGTCTTATGGTATTCTACTAATGGAACTCTTCACCTACGGACAAGTGCCATATCCGGGCATGCATAGTCGAGAGGTCATTGAGAATATCGAACGTGGCTTCCGCATGCCGAAACCAACTAATCACTATTTCCCCGATAATATTTATCATCTACTATTACAATGTTGGGATGCGGTGCCGGAGAAACGGCCAACATTCGAATTCTTGAATCACTACTTCGAATCGTTCACCGTGACGTCGGAGGTGCCCTATCGGGAGGTGCAGGATTAAGTAGCGTAGCACTCGAAATGCCGCGAGTGGTACAGCGTTATTGCCAGTGCGATATACATACATACACATACATATATACAAACATACATAAATTAACTAGATTTAATTGTAAGCCTTTTTAATTCAATTGAGAAGTGAGTCGTCTAAACAAAAACAAACGTATCTACATTACAGAAAACAAAAACAAACAGATAACTTTTCAATGGCAAAAGTTGTAACTGCTGCAGCGTAAACGCAAAGCAGCAGCATCAAGGTGCACATACGCAATCGTTTGGCGCTGCCATGTATGGGGCCAGTGGGATGTACCACTTGAAGAAGAAGAATTTTTACATTCGCAAAAAACTGCTACATACTAAAAGCTATTCTACATTATATACATAACACATGGTACGCGTATGATATATGCGTACGTTTATGATAGCATAAAAACAAAAAAGAAGAAAAAAATATTTTACACTTGATAAGCGAAATCTTTTATAATTTATATAGAGGTATTTATGTAATTTTAAGCTTATGGCAAATGAATTGTGCTATATAAGAGAAGCATTTAACAAATACAAAAAAAAAACCACAACAATAAAATATCTAATAGTCAGTCAATAGCAAGAAAAACGAATGAAAATCCGTAAAAATCTTGCAAAAAAAAAAATTACAACAAAAAATCTCTCCATGCATTTATCGAGTTCTATGCGCATGCGTTGGGTTAGCGCTGAAACTGTCTCTCTCTCTGAATTAATTTTTATTTTCACTATTATCTTTTTAATTTTTCTTAGTATGTAGTAATTTTTCTAATAAGTAAGTTCATTGAAACCTGTTAAATCGAACTACTTTTAAACATTATTACAAGAACAACAACCGAATTTAATTTCTAAGGCTTAATTTGTTTAAATCGAATTTAAGTGTTCTCACAAAAGTGGCAAAGCATTGCTACGAGCGCATATATTTTGCGCTTATTTCACTTTATTGTATTTGTATTACACTTTTTTTATTAATTTAACTTCATGCCAGAACCATCAGTAACACTTACATCTGTTACCAAATTTTCAGTGGCAAAACAGCTGTCATCTGTCAGCTGCTTAATGCACTATTTCGTCATTAATGCTTTAAGTGCTATTCCAATGCAACAACAACTAACCTGCAAAGCTATGAAAAAACTGCGTTTATAGAAACTAACAGTGTTAATTTTCTAAAAAACAAAAAAAAAAAACAACGCTGAAGTAGCCGTTGATACAGTTGAGTGAGGTTATTGCGGGGTAGCAACAGCTCAGCGAATATACCCTTGCCCACAAAATTTGCTGTAGTGCTAAAAAATATTGTTTGTATTCAAGTGACTGAGTGAACGTATTAATATTTAACAGTTAGTATTTTTATAGCAATTCGATTGCTGCGCAAAATTGTATATTATGGACTTACCAAGTTTTTGCGAGCTACTTAATATTTTTAAGCAAAAATAAAAATAGTTTTAAAAAAGAGTAAGGTTAATCCGGTGCAATTGAACTCAAATTTTTTTAATTTATTAGAATTGAATTTCTTTTAAAAAATTATAAAAAATGCGTAAATATTTTATAAAACTTAATTTCTTTTTTTTCATATTTCTTTAGAAATATTTTTGAATTTAATTTAATCTAAATTTATATTAATTTGTTAACTATTAAACGGGTGCATATTTGGCTGAAGTACTAACATATGTGGTAAGCACACCGTTAATGGAGTTGCTCTGGTTTAGTTTTTGCTGCTTTTTTCAAATGTAAACATAAATTTAAAGCAATTTTATTTCAAAACTCTTTATTCTTCTACTTTTTTAAAGGCGTAGRCACCGCTTACGKTTTAATTTTC